TTCAAACGACACGTCGACTATTAAATCAGTCGTCGACGATTTTGATAGTCGACGTAATCGTGACTAGTCGACAAATCGTGGCAGCCCTAATATATATATATATATATAGTAAATGTGTGTTTTCTTTTTAAAAAATTCCTGTAAACCAATTAAACCATTAAAACCATCTGGTAAAACTGTGTATTTCCCCTTCACCCATAACAGCGCTGGCCGGGTGGGATATGAGTACAGGAGCTCTGGGGAAGTCTGGCACCAGGACATTGGCAGTGGATCCTTCGGGTCCTGTGGGATACAAGTGAAGCCTCGATGGATTAATCTTTTACCAGCACATCCCACGGATACTTGACTGGAATGGGAAGTTGGCAATGCGTTGATGAGAGTGCTTCTACTGTGGGAGCCCACAGCAACAACCTTTTGGTGGGTGGTCAGAAACAGAAATGCCATAAGCCAGTGTGTCCCAACATAACATTGTGTTGCAACCAGATGATCAGTAGTATTCAATGTTGTGGCCTATGTATTATTTTACAATGGCTTGCTATTTCCTTGCGCTTCAAACGTGCCTAATAAGCCAACCTAACTACCTTCTCTCTGTAACCTTTCTGTGTATTTTCAGTATGAAGCTGATATATATATTCTTAATAAATCAAATCTGCTTATTTCCAAAATGTAAAAGTATTTCTTTAATTTAAAATACCGTGCGCTGTCTTTACAGTCCTGAACTTCACGAAGTAACTTAGTAAGGTCATGCACTTCTTTATCGTTTCAAATCACCGACCTTATTATCAACCAGACTTAATCACGTTTTCCTTGTTCACAAGGTGGATATTTGTACTGCGTCTAGTACACTCAGTCAATAATGCATTTTTTTCTCAGCATGACTATTACCTGGTCTTTGATCCACAATGAAACGTGGGCTTACATCATTTCTCAGTGTTCTACATTCATAAACTATTCCTTCCCAAGTCTCAGTTCTTGACACCGTTCAGGCTCTGAGGGGATGAGCCCTACACACAGAATAGCTAATACAGCTACCAGCAGCTCAGACAGAGGGGAGTAATACCAGAATCCCCGTCTTGTCATTTCTCACAGGCTTAGTCCCGCTTTCATCTTTGATGTACACTGTATCCTAATGTAATGCAGCATTCATGTATCTTGATCCACTTTGTACTTCGACTGACTCAGCAATGGGATAAGTGTAATTAAACTGTAGTTTTGCATAAAATAGAAGCTTTAAAGACATTTTCGCATGAACGTCTCGTAGCCTTGAAAGTAGAGAAGAGTGGAAGATCTGGCGTCAGGGTCAGTCCCTTGGTCACTCAGGGCTGACGTGAATCACCGTGTTTATACTGTGGAAAAGATTTTTAATTAGCCCCTTATTTTCACTGCATCTGCAAGTGGCATTTCCAGATATAAAAACTCTTTTGCAACTTTTATCAGAATAAAATAATTTATATTCTCTTGACAGGAAACAGTTCTTTGTGATTGTCAGACAGACTGTCGGTGGATAAATCGGAATAATCCGTTCGCAGTAATAAGCATTCAACACTATGTCCAAAGAGAATAAATAGATAAAATGAATGACTTGCAATGATGCCTTTTTTCTTTCTTTCTTTTTTTTTTTGGTAACACCCCCTCTCCGCCTGAGAGAGATATTTGCAGTGACACACTGTCCTCTCACGTATTAGCAAAATTTGATTGGTGGATTTGATTGATTTTTATTTCAGACGCTGCTGTCACCGAGGAAGCATTGGGGATCTGTGCCTGGGCATGACATGCAGCAATCATGTCAACCAGTCAAACAAACTGGACTTCGCACTCAATCAGTCACTCTTGGGTACCGTACAGGTGGCCTAGTGTGAGTACAAACTAAAATGCTGCTTCAGCAACAGAAAACAACCCCCTTCCTTTTTCACCTCAAGCCCTGTGTGTACTTTGGTGCCTTCATTTCCCTTTATCTCTCTCTCCCTCTCATGTGACTCTTTTTTGTTTGTTTGTTTTTTAATGTGGGAAGGTTGCAGATATTGTAGTAAAATTCTTAAAATGTCAGAATATAATTTTTCAAGCAATATAATTGTGTCAGTGGAGGTGGGAAGTAATGAAGTACAACACTTTGCTGCTGAACTTTTTACTTTTACTCCCCACATTTTCTACTTTTTCACACAAATACCTGTACTTCCTACTCCTTACATCTTCAGGCTTGTTACTTTTGGTTTTGGTTATTATTTCTGGTCAGTGCAAGCCTTCAAATATCAAACCAATTAAAGTCTAAACAGAGACACATGAAAGGCAGTCCTGTTTGTGTATTAATCGCCAGGGCATGTAGCTTAAAAACAGATGAAACCTCACGCCATAGTCAGGGGCCTTGTTACTGGCTAAAGGTCCAGCAGCTGTATTTCACAGGGAGAGAACAGAACGAGAGCTAACTTCACTCAGAGATGGAGAAAGATAAGAAAGACAGGGCAGGAGAGGAAGAAGAGAGGTTAAATTTAAAGATAAGAACGGCTCAGTAGGATTTGATAAACTGGAAATGTAAAGGTTAGATGTTCATGTTTTTAAATCAGAGATTGGGTCTGTATATGTGACATTATGTTTTTTATATTGTGAAACATGCTGCAAAACAAACTAAGGTACACTAACTGTGTTATTTAAAGCTTGTATGAAATGCAATATATGGTGCACAGTGGCTGTGGTCCTTATGGTTGGAGTTAGGTTACATGAAGTGTAGCAGAGATTAATATAGCACACATCAGCTGATCATAGCCTTTATATCAACAAAGTCTCTCTGGAGCTCTCTGTTGAGTCACTACAACTGATTTCAGGGTTCCCCCAAATGCTGAATCCCACTTTAACCTCGTTCCCACTCATCTTGCTGTTTAGAGGTAAAGTCACTCCCTACAATGTCGGCAACAGAAAAGAGAGATAATGTTTTCCCGTCTTTTCTTTGCTTGTGTTCTACTTCAGTGATTCAAGCTGATTACAATTAGAATTAAAAATTAGGAATACAATCTTTATTTTAGTCTCTCTACTAATATTAGTTTATTATTGCATTAATATAGCACAAGTTCGTTTTTGACTTTCTTTGAGTATATTTCAAAGTACCATCTGTGTGTCGGTATAAATGTGCTGTTTATATGCATTTTACTTAAGATGCATATACAGATTAACCCTGTTCCTTAAAAGGCACACCAAACTGTGACCAGCAGTAGTAGGGATTATAATGCAAAGAAATTAGACTAGAAAGTTTTTTTCCCCTAAATTTGTTTTCAATTTTTCTGTAGTTACTAACAACAAGTATGTAAAGTGTTAGTTTATGAAGTTCACAGACATCCAGTTGTACATTTCCACATTAATGTACATTTGCAGAAGCAGCATAAAGGCCAGACATCTGAGCCCTTAAGTTTTACAACTGGTATTCTTGGTGTCAGAACCACTGCTACCCTGAGCCTGACAGCTCAGTGAATTGACAAAGATTTTATTTTCTGGCCTGAAGCACAGACAG